TATATATATATATATTCATTAAATTATTTATTGATAGTGCTTGTGTATGAGCTCATATAACAGATGAGTTTCCCATTTTAGTAATGTAGCTTATCTTCAGACGAAGTATCTACTGGAAAAGAAAAAAAAGCTATGAAATAGCTTTAATAGTTTCCTTGGCACTGGAATTGTTAGTAGACTGTATGGGCTATGAATACCTAAATGATTTATTAAATTTCATGCCATTGTATTATTTCTTTTTTAGAAATATGCTTTTCCTGAATTGGCTATGTAGATTTAAAATTTATAGATTGTATAAGTATTCCACTCATATTGTCATGTTCTATATTTGATAGCTAGATATTGTGAACCTATAAGTCATGAAGAGGCTTTATTAAGGTTCATATTTTAAATGTATTTGTAACATTTAATGCTACATAGATGAAACATTTCAGGCAAGAATGATGGAAGTGTGGCAGGTGTGCGTTACTTCCAATGTGAGGCCAAGAAAGGTGTTTTCTCTCGCCTCACCCGCCTGTCTCGAACACCTCTCACTGACCAGGACATCGAGATCCTGACATCCAGATCTTCCACCGTAGGATCAGACTCCCCAAAGACCAATGGTACCCCAGCAGCTAGTGTGGCCTCGGGCCCTACATCATCTACCACACGTAAGGTTACTCCTGCCAGTGCCCCAACAGGCTCCACTGCTTCCTCCACCTCTGCTGTTGCTGCTAAGTCAGGTTCTCCTGCTCCTGCTTCTACTCCAAGGAAAGCTTCTAATGCTACCCCAGGTATATGATGTTAAAAGCTCGCTCTCTCCCTCACAGTTCATGGGTAAGACATGGTATATCAGAGATTTGGGGAACTGTCAATGGGATGCTGTGTATGTGAATGAGAGGGGATATCATCCAAGTTGATTTCGCATGAAATTTCTGTTAGTTTCTCCAGTTTATCAGAGTGATCTTTAGTGTTTTGCTTTAATATGATAGTTTCTTTTCTGAAATTTGTCAAGATACTTTTCTTGTATGACAAATCTGTACCCCAAAAAGCTAGAATTGAATGCATCCAACCTTGCCCATGTAGGCTAATGCTGCTGACCTAGGCATGATAATGATACAGATTATTATTGAAGTGAAATACTTAAAAGTAAATCATTCATTTACCATGAGTTTGTATAGGTTTTAGTCCATACATTTAAGCTAAAAGATGATTGCAAAACACTTTGTAAGATTTTTTTATGGTCATGCTGATTCATAGAATACAAGATCCATTTTCAAACTTGAAGGTCTACACTTTTAAGGTTAAAAAAAAAACCTTTTCACCAGTCAGTTTGAATATAAAAATGAGATTTTTTACCATTAGTCTTTTACAAGTATCATAGTGGCTTTAATTTTTGTTTAATCTGTTGATAGAAGATATCAGAGACCCAGTTTTTTCAGTATATTGAAGATATAAGGTTTATATAAATAGGCAGACTAATCAAAGTTCTGAAGGCATTACTTCCTGTGCAGTTTATTTGTTGGAAAACTATTGATATATTTGGTTATTGAATTATTCTGTTATCTTTTTTTGCTACTTTTCATTTTGTTAAACAAATACCTGAGATACCAGTTTAAAGGGGTTATCAGTTATATTTTCTTTGTCTTTATAAAGTTTTGTGATAGACCTATGCAGATATAGACATTTGTTTATGGTAACAATTTCCTTAAAACTGGTTTTCTTAGTGCATTTATTAATGATAAGAATAAACTTCAGTGAGTAAAAATTCAGTGAGTAAATATTTTGCTTGTTTATAAATTGAGCATGTAATAAATGGCACCATTAGCATCAGTATAATTGCCATGGTCAACTTCATTGTATTAATGACATTGAGAGTGATGATAATGGTAATGAAAAAGGAATTTTGGATTGAAAATTAACAGAATGAAAAGAAATGTCATTTATGCCTGTTGCATATGTTGCATGAAAGAGAGAGTAAATATAGGGAAAACTTCTTATACATAAGTAGCCTTTGTCATGGTGAACATGACAAGCTGTCTCAGGATCAATGTAAGCCTAGATTGTTATGGAAGAATTTTATCAAAATGCCTGGTGCTTTCATGAATTATATTCTGCTTATCCAGATTGAAGAAGAAGCATTAATTGAAATCACCTTTAGAAAAAGGACTAGATTTATGTGAGAACCCTTATTAAGAAAGGGATAATTTTAGTATTGAAACCTTTTTTTCATTTTTACAGCTTCTGTATCCTCAGACTTGAAAGTAGGAGACCGTGTAGTTATCAACAGTGCTTCAGGAGTCAAGCATGGCACACTGCGCTTTATAGGAAAGGCAGATTTTGCCGAGGGCATTTGGGCTGGGGTGGAATTGGATGAGCCCAATGGCAAGAATGATGGTTCGGTGGCTGGCAAAAAGTGAGTTTTTAAATGTTTTTATGTTCTTTACAGATAAAGCATTGTGCTCTATCAGTGTTTGAATATTATTTTATATAAAATGTGATAATTGATAGTGGCAGTGCTTAAATCTTATACATTTTTTTTTTTTTTTTTTTTTTTTTTTCTACCAAAACCAGTGCAATGTTTTATAAGTACAATGTTTCTACCTCCCTCAAAACAGATATTTTGAGTGCAAAAACAAGTATGGGTTGTTTGCCCCAGTGGCCCGCGTGAGCAAGTTCACAGGGGGTTCAGGAACCCCGCGCCGTACTTCCTCCCTGTCCCAGACCCCCCGGGGCTCCCTCCGCCGTTCCAACAGCAAAGAGTCTATTGGTGGATCTTCTGTTGCCTCTTCCACAACATCATCCATTCGGGGTACCAGGGTAAGACTTGGCGTCACGTCCCTATCGCCAGGCCAGGTACCGTGTCTCCCAGTGTTGCTGTCCTTTGTGGATGTTGTTGTCCGGGGCAGTGGCTTTGTCTAGTTTTTTAAAAAATATTTTCATTAATCCTGTTCCTAGAAAGGATATGGTGGGAGTTTTCAAGGGCACCCCATTTTCATTATTATCATTATTTAATTTTTTATTTGTGCTTTTTGGGGGAGGTCAGTGCTTGGAATTGCAATTTAGGTGTAGGGAAAGGTGTTAAGAGAAGCTAAGACTACTGCTAATTTTCTGATTAGAACAGGCAGAGTTACCTGTACATAGACATTGGTATGTTCACATTAAAGGTCATTTGCTTGTCTCAATATACTTTGCAGTCCATAAGGCTTGATTTGATCATTTCTGTTGCATGTTGATCACAAGTCTTATAGATTGCAGTGTAATGAGCATGTATAGTGCAATACAGTGCACTGCCAAAGCCACTGCTTGTGTGGATCACAATACAAGCAGCAGAAAAATGGGGTAAGCTAGACCAGCCTTCATAGATATAATTATGTTAACAGTGATTTAGACTTTGTAAGATGTGGATATCATGTGCATTTTAGTGGTCCATTTGTAAGGGAGAGGATGATCAATACCCTAAAGATATCCATCAACTTTGTGATTATTGCACATTCTTGATGATCAGTTTGCTGGATCAATTGGCACATCATGAAAAAAGAAAGAAGATAAAAGAGATTTGTATAGCCAAAAGTCCTTCGTGTTTTTTCTTTGTTTTAAGTGTCTGGACCCGAAATGTCATGGTGACGTAATGGTGATGTTGAATGGAGAGGGTGGAGGCCTGGATCCTTTTTAACACGTAACACCTGTAACACCAAAGAACAAGAGAGCCCAGATTTATTCTTTGGATTTTTTTTTTTTTTTTTCTTTTTTTTTTTTTTTTTCTTACTGATATTTACTTTGTGATTAATAAATCCTTGGTATGTGGTATTATAACCAACTAATTTTCTTTTGTGGTGAGATAGAGACTTCAGAAATTGATGACAAGAAAGAGTGAAAATAAAATGTCTATTAGATTTCACATATAAGCATTGGCTTTAAGATTCTCATCAACTACAGTACCAATAGATATTGTATTACAGTCCCCACTATCTATTATTCATTAATTACCTTTGTAATGTCTGTATATCATTGTTTCTTTATTTGATATGCAATGTGGAGATGATTTTTTTCCCCAAAATTAAAAGCAAAGCCCAAAATCAAAGATCAAAATAAAAGATCTATAAAATCCACACAGCAGTATGTAATTGCAGTCAATTTTGCAAGAAAGAAATTAAAAATTGAATTGCAAAGACTGCTTTAGTTTAAAATTTTATCGTAGATATTTCTCTCTAATGCAGAAACATTAAGTTAATGGTGCATGATCTGAGAAATTGTTGTAGTTGTATGAAATTCCATGTAGTTGACATACCAAGTTTTGCATTGAAAGTAGTAGAGAGTAAAATCTGATGCCATTTCAAGGCTTCTGTTGTGCATATATGCATATATTCCTTATTCCCGAGAGCATTTGCTAGACTTTAGTGAATTCATCATGCCTTCCTTATCGTTATTGTCTAGTCATGTATGATAGCCTGGTTTAGCCCAACTCATCATTTTGTTGCATCTTCACCACTGCATGGTAGAGTTAAGTTGCACATGAATGCATGTTTTAGTGACAAACATTTTTCTTGCATGTCTGTCGTTCTGATAATAGAATTTCTTTTGTTTTTAAAGATATAACAACCCCATTGTCAAATATGCACTTCAATGATTGTTTTTGTAATTGTTTATTTTTTTGGTTTTCCTTTTAACAAGAGGAAGTAATTTTGTATAATTTTTTTTTCTTTTTCTTAACTCACTCTCCTCTGTCTTGCTTTTACTCTTACTGTCACTCTCACATACTCACTCTTGCTCCCCTCCCCTCTTCTCCACCCTCTTACTACCTCTACATCTACCTTTTCCTGTTTCCATCTTTCCCTTTACACCAAAGCCCAGTGGATCAACGCCACCACCATCCTATTCTGAGTCACCCCCACTTTGTTTTTCACAATCCTCTACTCCCACCTTTTCCCAGTCCCTGAATGCCTCTCCCTCCTCATCACCACCACCTGGTTTGTGCCAATCCCCAGTACTGCCGAGGGCAATCTCTGCCGAAGGCTCACCTGGCACAGGCACTTCCTCCCAGCCCTCCCCACCTTTGGCAGGATTAGCCTCAACGGGTACACCTCCACAAGGTGCCCGGGGAAGGCATTCCTTCAGGAGGACTTGCACACTGACATCCTCCTCCTCAAAGACAAGTTTGTCCAAAATTAGTCCGCCAGGTTCCTTGCAGTCCCCACCTGTAACCTCTTCCTCGGGGGCACCCGGTTTCATGCAGAAGAAATACCCATCTTCTGTCTCTAGGTCTATTTCCATGTCCCAGCCCTCCTCTGCCCCAAACACACCTTGCAGCTGCCGAACACGAAAAAAGCTGCATCATTCGTATTCCATGGACGGGGTAGGAAGATTGGCACAACTGCCACTGTGCAGTAGAAATTGAAGAAAGCTTTGGCTATTTAAGAAAAGCAAAAATACCTTTTTTGATTGCAGACTTGACATAGTAGAGTATTAGATACTGTAACAGCTCGATGTGTGACTTTCATTGTTAATAATTATTTTTATTTTCTTCTGCATCAGGTATTTGCAGCCTTTATAGTGATTGGCACAATGCTCATGTCAGTTGCATATCTTCACTTATGTTGCATTGGTAAATGTCCTAGTGGAGTAATAAAACAGTCAGGTTATTTTGTGACCATTATGGGAAAGAGGAATTAGTATTCTTATTTTGTACTCTTGGTGTACATATCTAAATATTAGATATATTATTCTTTAAAATTACAGTACAAAATGACAGTTCTTATGTTTTGACTTTAAGTGAATATATTTAAAAGATGTGACAAATGGTTAGATTTAATTAAGATGGTAAATTTAACTCATAATCTGCTTGTTAATCATCAAGTTTTGTTTTCAGATCATATATCTAAAGCATAGGTAGTTTATTATATGTGAGGGAAAAAAAAGGGTTGTAAATATTTAATGACCATACTATCAACTTTCAAGAAATTAGTCTTACGTGTAAGAAAAAGTGGAAGAAAGAAAACAGATACTACTCTGTTCTTTATTTTTGTGCAGTTTTAGGAGAGAAAATATGGGGGACAACTTGCTTATTATGATGGTGTAGATTTGGCGAACAATTTGTCTACTGTAATTATACGTCAGGCAAAAGCTGGAGCAGAGTTGTCGTTTACTGAATATCAAAATCATATAGACTTATTATTAGGGAGGGGGGGTGGGGGGAATATTTGTTTCATAGACTACACTGTGGCTATAAATTTGCAACATAGCTATAGAGTTGCCAGTACTCCCTGGACTTGATGGGAAAGTAAAGATTTACGGCTTGTTCCTTTGTGAAATGCTATGGCTTGATGTTGTGTTTAAAGCAGCTGTAAGTATGGGAAAAAGTATAACTATTTACTATTTCTGTCTCTTGATATTTCCTCTATTATGTTAATGAGTAGAATGATGGTGTGCATTAGCTGGTTATTTGCAGTGGGGTTACCTTCTGTATTTTCTGTCTCTTTTTATCTTGATATATCTGTAGATTGCAGAAATGATTTATATTCATAACTCTTTTTGTGTGTGTAAACATATTTGAATCTGGTGTAGAGTTTTATACTAATGTGTAAATATAGTAATTCCATAGATCTAGTTTTACCTTAATAAGTATTAATGATTTATTGTTATGGAATGTTTGATAACACCATACCAAAAATGGAGATGTAGATTTGACTAGTAAGCTAATATAGTTTTTAAAAATCCTTGTAAAGGAAAAAAAACTACATTTTTCTCATTAGCAGTTTGATCTGAAATATGCCATATACAGTGGAAAGTTAAATCACCTTTAGAGAAAGATATGAAATATAATTTTATGAAAAGTGCTTTTATTTATGTGGTATTTAAGACCAAACTGCAAAAAGAAAACTATTTTGTGATTTTAAAACCTTTTATCTTTAGTTTAATATATATATATATATATATATATATATATATGTATATATATATATATATACACAAATGTATGTGTGTGTGTGTGTGTGTGTATAT